CATTGGAATTCTTCTCAGTTTAATTGATATGTTTGAGATTGGTCTTGCTTGAACCGTTGTCCTTGATCATTTAATTGTTTTCTTTTCTTTTCTTTTCTTTTTGTTCGGGACGAATAAAGGTTTTAGTGTGGGGGAGTTGTTTGTCCCATTTTTGTGTCTTTATTTTGGGTTTATTTTCTCTTTATTTTTCCCCACTTATAGGATTCTCGTAGTTTATTTGGTCCAATTCTATGATTTTTCCGTTTTTCTCTTTAATTCGGTTTGTGCGTCTTTTTGCTGTGTTTTGCTTCGTGTTTTCTTCGTGATTGTGTTTTCAGGAGGTAGGTTGTGTTGACCGAGGACGGGACTTCTTGAGCTGAGACCGGGATATCAAGAAGACCCATTAACGTGCTCAGAATGCTGAAGGAAGGACCGAAAAAACGGACCGAAAAGCTGCTCAGAACTTCTCGCGACTCGCGAGTCAGTGTCCCGACTCGCGAGATGGTCGCGACTCGCGAGAATGTCACGACTCGCGAGTCCAACAGAGACGAAAATCTGAATTTCGCGGGACGAGTCGGGACTCGCGAGTCCATGTCGCGACTCGCGAGTAAGCTCGCGAGTTTCCCCAGAATTTAAATATTTTTCGAAGACGCGCGACTCGCGAGATGTCGCGACTCGCGACTCGGTAAAAGTGAATGTCGCGACTCGCGACTTGATCGGCGCGATTTTCGAGGACGGGATTTTAAGATCAGAATTTCGACCTAGACATCATTATTCACATTCCAGACTTCGTTTTTACACTTTTTCTCTCTAGAAACTCATTCTTTTTCATACTTTTGCTATTTTGGATTGGTTTTGGAGATTAAAACTCTGTTTTCTAGCTTGGATTTGGATTGTTCAGTGGATTTAACATTGGGATTCTTTTATTAATCGTAAGTTCTTCTTTTCTCAATTGTGTGATTGATGATTATGGCTTGGGTTTTTATTAGTTTTGATGTTGAATTCCATATGAGTAGCTAAATCCATACGCTAGGGATAGAGGATGATTGATTAGGTTCGATTATAATTGCTCGTTATTAATTGTTCGTATCTATTCAAGTTGTTCCTACTCTAGGGTTAGTAGATTGATCACCTTCCTAACCTAATTAATCAACGTGTAGAACCGAGAGGGGAGACGTTGGTCGATATAGGCTTGTTTAGAGTAGACTTGTTCGTAATAGTATTGTCTATGAGTTGTTGGAATTGATAGTTGATCGTGTACGTTCACTCTCTTGTTACGAAGAGTTATTGAGAGTGAGCCTCTGGACGAGAAACGATTCAAGTCCTTTAACCGAGCAATTGATTGCCGGTAGTTGTGTTAGAACCGAAAGCAATTATCCCCGATCCCCTAGCTCTTTAATCATTTGAGTAAACTCGTTTGCTATTTAAATCGCTTTTCATTTATTTTCAAGTCGCTAGTTATAATTAAAATCAAAACCTTTGAATAGAGTGTTTAGGATTTTCTATTTTCTGTGATCGAATACGTACGATTGAATCCGGCTAACCTTCCTTGCGATACGACCCGGGGAACGAATCTTTCGATTCTACTCCGATAAAAATACTTACAACAACAGCACCTGAATGCATACTTGGGAATTATGCAAAGCAATCCACTCTTTTTGGACTTGGAGCCACGGGATGAAATGTTGGGCACTTACACCATCGTGCCGACTACGTTTTTTGTGAGATTATTTTAATCCTTTTTATTTTCCTTGTCATTCCATTATTATTAATAATTATATTAATAACAGTATCATCCATTTTTTATATAGATGATGCTGGATGAATTGAAGAAGGAGATGGATAAGGGGGGAGTGGACCTGGAATCGGAGGCCCTCCGATCTTTGATTCGCATTGCGAGTGAGGGGGTCAACGGTTGGGGGAATCCGTGTCCTTGGAGGGGGATTCAATATGTAAGTTTTCAATGATTCCGAATCAATTAATATTGCAATCTTTCCTAAAAAATTAGTGAATTTCTCACAACTCAATGCAACAGATTTTTAGAGTAGTGAATTTGTCCAACCACTCTCCAAGGATTCCATATGTAAGTTTTCAATGATTCCGAATCAATTAATATTGCAATCTTTCCTAAAAAATTAGTGAATTTCTCACAACTCAATGCAACAGATTTTTGGAGTAGTGAATTTGTCCAACCACTACGTGACTATCAAGATCTCTTTACTCAACGGGACGATAAGTGTGTTTGACCCTCTACGGAATACGTATTTAGAAAAGTAGAACGAGCACATTCGCGAAAATCGCGTCAAAGGACTCCAAAAAATCTAAAATCTAATTCCAGTGACTGCGACGTATGCGGAAGTAGAGGGAGTGAGCAAAAAGTTCGAATTGAAATTCAAGGACCCAAAAAATACTATCTTGCAACATGATAGAATTAATTGTGGTGTATACGCTGTGGAGATGGTACGAACATTGCTCACGAGGAAGATGCGTTTCAAGAAGTCTAACAAGTTGTTGGCTAAAGCAATGAGGCACAAAATTTCTCTACAAATTTTTCAGTTTAGTACAGAACCAGACACAATTACCAACCCAGTTCTTTAATGATTCATGTAATGCATTTTTTTTTTTTTTTTTTTTTGCATTTTATTATAATTTTGTTGTTTGTTGTATGTATGTGGCATTTCTCATACCTGAAAGAAAAAAATTAAACTAAATTAAACGATGAAAGATGAAAGAAATAAAAAAATAAACTTTCGAGTAGAAGTGCGAAGGTGGTATGCGAGCAATATGCGGCAATTCACATACACCATCTCATAACTGAAATAACTAAAAGATGAAAGAAATAAAAATAAACTTTCGAATAGAAGTGCGAAGGTGGTATGCGAGCAATATGCGACAATTCGCATAACCCATCGCATAACTGAAATAACTGAATGATGAAAGAAATAAAAAAAATAAACTTTCGAGTAGAAGTGCGAAGGTGGTATGCGAGCAATATGCGGAAATTCGCATACCCCATCGCATAACTGAAATAACTGAAAGATGAAAGAAATAAAAA